TGTAAATTTAGCTCGACGGTACACTTGGTTCCACGAACCTAAGCCTCCTCGACGACCACAACGACGGGCGGAAACGAGAAGAAAGGGAAAACAGCCTCCAGGCTAGTGAACTTCTTCTCCCGTGTACGCGATCAGTTGTAAAAAAAAAAAAGGAAAAAAAGAAAGAAAATAATCCCCGATAAGCAGATAAGGATGAATAATGAGCGTGGAAGTTAAGACGACAATAGGAACGACGTATATAATCGTGACGAAATATCGATATCGATTCGCTTCGTTCACTGATAACATTCGATCGATCGAAACTTCCAATGAAGTCAGAATACAACAGTCTTTCTTCCGTAATAAATTATTTCCACTTGGTGTATTACCAGGCGAGGTCTGATAATCGAGACTCGTGCCAGGAATTTCAAGGCGGGAATTTGACTGTGACACACGTCTCGTTGTTTTTGATAAAGATAAAATTAATGTATTTTTCACGTTTTCTCAGTATCTTTTAAATTGTTTTTGTAACAAAAAAAAAGTAAAAAAGAATGACGATTTTTTTTTAGCGAACGACAAGTGTATGTTTTGTAAATTAGATTTACGTTGTAGTAAACGAGAGAAAGGTAAATCACGTTGGTACGCCTGTTTGGGAAATAGAGCGAATGATGGGCCAAATGTCACGCGAGGAATGACAGAGTCGCTCTTAGAACGCGAGAAGAAATAGCTAGGAGGAGAGACGAGCTAAAGAAACAACGAAGAAAAAGGGAAAATTAAACCATGTTCTACGTCTCGTTTCGTCTTTGCTCGCGTGTCTCCATTTACGTGCGCCATTATGGATGCACAATGGGCCCCCATGAAATTTGACACGGCCTTCGTGAAAATTGAATACGAATTTTAACGAGATTTTTAATTTAAGGAATTTCCTCTGATTTATTCGAAAATATAATACAATCATTAACGATACACGTTAAAAGAATTTCATATCCCATAGAAACACATTCTTTATTCAAACAAGAAGCGCCAAGGTATAACTGAATAAATTCCCATGATACGTATCTCCTTACAGAAAACATTAAATTACCATAGGAATACCGAGCTGTTTCCTAGCACAATCTTCATTATTTCGCTACTAAATGCACATTTGTTCCCACCTCGTTTCAAATAAGAGCTTGTAGTAAACGACAAATATCTCCTATTTCAGTGATCCTCATCCTACAAGACTCCCTATTTTAAATCCCTTTTAATTTTACCCAGTCTGTTCACGATTTCTTAATCTATGCAGATAAATAAAGTAAGAAGAAAAAAGGAACGGGAAAAAAACCCGTTCACACGGCCTCGAAACAAAAAATCAGGCTACGGACGGTTTCACGATCTACTCACTGCAGGCTTTTTGCCAATAGCGCTCGCGTCGCTGTAGGACGTAACCTTCACGTAAGGACTGGAAGAGGACATTGGCACGGTGATCATTTTTCTGCCGTTCGCCTCTCTTGTGGCCCTTTCCCATTCGAAAAATCGAACGCGAACGTTCCCGCGATGTTTCCCTTCGAACGGCTAACGATCTGGCACGTGCTCACGGCCACTTCCGGCGGCGGGATTTTTCTAGGTGACCGGCGCACTTCCACCACTTTAGTACCGTGACAAAATGACGCTTCTCGACGACGAATTTATTACTCTTCTTCTCTGTTTCGCGTTAATCTGCCAGCTGTCCAATTCGTCCAGCAATCATTAACCCTGAATTATCGTCGAAAATTTCGTTCGCTAATTTACAGTATTTCCTTGAATATGTCACAGACAGATAAGCAAAATCGCGTACGTAGAAGTACAACGATCCTTGAAAAAATTTTTCAGGGATCTTTCACGTCGATGGTGAATAGGAAATGAATTATTTTCGACCGAACTTGCGATTATTTTCAAGGTTACCCACGATAGTCGACCTGTTTTTCCTACAGCGTATAGGTTATATACCGCGCTAAATACAATTTTCAAATGTCTATAGCAAATTGTTCACGATAGTATACGTTTGTAAACTTTCGACACTTTCACAGAGAGCACCGAAAAATGCGGGAAATTTATGTTGTTTACGAAGTTCAATGTTTTGCTCGAAATTCGTTACGAGAAGCACTCTCGTTTGTTCGATAAAACTTCAACTCGATTCACTAAATCGGTTAATTTCTTTTATCACGTCGCAGATATGATTTTCAAATAGTTCTAATTGTTCGTTAATTCTACGTAGTGTCACTAACGAACACTTCCGGAAAAGAGCTCGGTAATGGTAACCGTCGCGTGCGATGGCAAGCAATGCACTGATCTAATCGTGGATTAGCGTACGAAGTGCACGAACTTTTCTAGTCCGACCGAAACGACGTTGTTTTCGAACAGCCGGGAGCCTCGCAGTAACACCTTTACCGACGGCCGAGCAAACATCGACTGACGCGTAGCGCGCCTCGTCGCCTAAGGAGACGAATGGACCTCTCTACTGGTTGTCGCGCGCTTCCAGGTAACGCCTGTAGATTATTCTTACGGAAAACACCGTTAAAAGAGTCATCATGATCGATCCCCGGACTTCAGTCACCAAACATCTTATGTCGATATTAATTTATCGACCTCTTAACGTTTATTGCCCCGTGTTGTTTACGCCCTGTTGACGTCGTCTTAATTTCTTATACGTTGGTTATTATATCGCGAGGTTATACGAGGCGGTTTACCAAGAACAAAGAGTGAAGATGGATAATCCTTATTAGATAGAATTATGGTGTTTTCGGAATTAATCGATATTTCTAGGAAAACAATTAGGTGTCCCACTTGTGAAAGACTCTGTACATTAGATTTCAACATTCCGGCGAGTTAATGGGAACAAACAAGAATGTAATTTTGAAATGCATTTTCATCTTGAGACCAGACGTGTTTCCACGATGCACTTATGTAATATTAAATCAATGACGATGATTGAAGGTTGCTCTGTGTATTTCTATTTTCACCGTGGCAAGGCAGTGGTGAAGTGGTGTAGTGTGAGAAGTGCTTAATAATTCATTAATCTCGTAGAAGAAACATTATCTGTCTGTTAAACGAAGAATGAAATCGCAACAGACCGTTGTAATTATACACTGCCCCGTTATTGAAACTTTCATTGAGGAAACGACAACCGAATAATTGCAGCTTCAAATTCTACGATACATATGGATGCACGTATGGGCTCATTTCCACACAATACGTTACGTTTTCAACTTTGATTTCTCCCTAATAAATTTACGCGCCTCTTCCTGATTCATTTGTGTTGGAAATGGACAACTGAAATCAAAATTAATCGCGGATAAATTACGGTGATAATTCGTGTATTCGCCACCAGAGGTCTACGAAGCTTTACCTATTTTCGCGAGTACAAAATTATCGATCACCTTACATAAATCCTTTGTTTCATGCCTTTACAATTGAAATTTTTCATTTTCCTCGTGTATTACAGCATATACATTCTGATTAAATAAAATATATCTTTCATTTATATTAATAAGTTTACAAGTTTTTATTGTTTAAAAAGAAAAAAGAAAATGTTGCATTGAAAAATGTGCTAATCTGCCGTTTTCAGTACACTTTTTTTTGATATTCAAGTGTCCAAGCAAAGCAAAGGAAATCTCGGTCACGTTCTGCAGTAAACAATTATGGCGCGCCGCTGATTACGAGAATTCCAGACGGGCAATTTCTCGTGAAAATCGTGATAAAGTAAACTGAAACATACGTGACTCCTCCTCAGTATTTTATTTCAATTTTTCAGATGTACATCACGCGTGCCTATAAACTTATAACATTTTACAATCTTGTTATTCATAAGCAATATAATTTGCAAGTCAAATGTTTGATACGCGTTCGATTGGAAAAGCTTTCGACACGTTATGTGACCAGGTTAATCGGCCATCTTGGAAAATTTGGTTTGCTTTCGCGGACTACCTTGAATAAAGCAACTTGCGTAACCGTTGTAAAGTACAACAATGTAAACTTTCGGCGTAGCATGTCTTGTTTACTAAAACAGTGAAATTTGCACGCAATAAAGTTGCTTGTTGATCAGCTGGATGTGCCAAGAAAATGGAAAGTCCAACCAAATGAAGTATATGTTTTATTTACGATAAACAAAAGTCAGGAATTATTTCTCTGTTTATTGTTATTCGTTCGGAAACGAATCTTCAACCTAACCTAACTGTCCTATTTTACGCAATCAGGAATTAAGTGAAGCAATACCGAATTAATCCGTTACGAAACAATTTAAAGTGGATATCGTTGTTTTTATTCTACTGTACAAGTGACTGAACTTAGGTTATGAAAAATGGCGCGAAAACAAAGGTGACGATAAATTCAGTGGTCTCTTTCGTATAGTAATTTTTATCCATTTTAAATATCAACAGAAGTTGTTATTTTTCAAAAGGTTGGAACTCTCTAATGGAATTCCATTAGTCTACAAACGACGGTTATTATTTTCTTCGTTCTACGTGTATTCTACCGTAACGATTTGCAAGTCAAACGACCGGATCATTTCGTGTTTTCATTGGAAGACAGGCCAACACCTGTTAAACGGCTACAAGACGCATCCAGTTGCCTCGTAGAGTTTTTTTAAACGCATCAACAATTATAAAGATTCAAGAACAATCGAGCGAAACGTCTGCGTTTGCATTGAGACACGCATTGAAAATACCTGTAAATTACATTTACCGCCTTCTGTCCCAACATTCGACATTGGCAAAAACATCAAGCCTGGTCGGTAAACAGTTATTTTATATTTTTAGATCGGTTGATTCGGCAGAGTTTGCTCTCCGAGCTATTTCAGTAACTTACATTTTATTGATGCATTGCTATAGATGGCGGACGTCAGAGCTCCAAGCACCCCTTCTTGTGATCATTGAAATTGAATCTGCATGAGAGTCACGCATGAAAATGCTGATCCTTATTTATTTGCTTCTCAGTGAATAACTTCTTGAATATTATTTTGAATTTCTCTCAAATAATATTGAAATTGGTTTGATACTTGTTTCTAGCCAGGAATAAATCCTGATTGATCTAGGTCAGTGAACTGTTTTAAAAATCATCGTTTTTTTTTTTAATAATTACATTCACCATTTTGAATGAATCACCCTGTATATAACAGATTTGAAATTCAAATTGATATTCATGTTGGGAAACTCTTTAGAAGAACGTTTTTTTTCTGCTGTACTGATGCATATTAACAGTCATTTTCAATTCAAGAGTAACGAACATTATGGCCTGCTGTTAATTGGCAAAGGGATGTTCAATGTTTGCAATATAATTCTCAACTCATAAATACTGTTTTAGTTAATGCTGTATTTAAATGAAACGAACAAAAAAAATCAGGAAGACTAATATTTTCGAAGCAAACTTCGTTACGTGACGTGTAGAACAAAATATTCACGTCCTCTTTGAACTTTGTTCAGGAATTGCCGCGCGCGCGAAATTTGAATTACCACTCAGTTAA